ATAAATATAATTTATTTAAGTAATTACTGCATATTGTATATATAATTGAATTTTTAAATTTATTTATTTTTAATTTTAAGTTAAAAAATAAAAATTTTTCAATAAATATATTATATAATGTGTTAAATAAAAAAAAATATCAATCAATGTTTAACAAAGTTCATGCACAAAATTGAACCTATCACATGCATTTCCTCATGTAATTGCAGTGGCGGTCACGTTTTTGCAAAGTAACAAGCAGGTGAAACGCACTTCAGGTCCGCAGATCAAGTTCTAAACTCGACTTTTTTCATACAAATATTAATCTAACACTGTAATTCCTTCCATCAAAAAAAAAAAAAACGAAAACTATCAAATAAATGAGAACCGAGGGAACACGAAATTACTTCATGGGGTGACTCGTGAGGTAGGGTGGCAGGGGTAATATGGTAATTGCAAAGTCTCCCTTGGATAAGGCTCCACATTACAACTATGAGACCAAGAATATAGTGCATGCACTCATCCGTGCCTGATAAATAGAGAGTCATTCTCCGGTGAGATGAGCAGGCAGTTCTTGTTTTATCCCACACCGTCCTCTTCTCCCAATCTCATGTCGTCCTCTTCCCACATTCTCATCCTATTCGTCGCCCTTTTCTCTCAATTTTATGCCGACTATTCCGAAATTATTCGAGGCACTGCCGCCTATTACGATCCACCACCACATACTCCCACTGCATGTCCCGAATTCAATAATAAACCACTACCTTCCAATGGCAATTTTGGGGCTGCCGGGGAACGGCTATGGGAGAACGATGCCCCTTGTGGAAGAAAATACAACGTGATGTGCATCAGTAAGGGTGCACCTACATCCTGTATACCCGGGAGCAAAAAGATAGAGATCGTGATAATCGATCGGGCAAAAACTTCAAGGACTGAACCTTCCAAAGATGACGCAACAGTTGTTTTGTCCATACAGTCATATAGATTAATTGCATATGATTTTAAAACTTCAGTTAACGTACAAATCGAACCGGTCCAAAATTTGGGTTAGTTTTTGTAGCTGCAGTTAAGGTCTTTGCAACTGGCTTGTTTGGGTTAGTTTGTTTGGATTGTTAAATAGTTTTGTATAAAGTTTGTTTGTTAAGAACTTTTGACATCGTGAGTCTGTGGCCATTAGTAGCTGTGATCATGTCTGTTTGGTAGCTGTTGTGTGAGCTTTTGATGTAAGTCTCTCTTAAGAGAATATTGGGTGGTTAAGTATGTCAGTCAGTTGATTATTTTCTTATCTTTTCAGTTGTGTTTGGAAGGTTAGAATATCCTTTGTATTTGGAATGAATAAATTTTATTTTTACAAATGAAAAAAATGTTAAATCATACGTGAGTTTTGAATCTCCTTCTGGTTTGCTCTTCTTTTTTTTCTTTTCTTTTTTTCCCCTTTTTTTTTAAATTGAGATTCTTCTTTTGTAGGGTTTCTCTTTATTGTAAGAGTTCTCTCCACTTGTAGAGGTCTCTCCATAAACGCTCTTTTGAAAATTTGGCCATGTGGATTTTATGTAAATTTCAATACAAGACTTAATTGTATGTAATTTTAAACTAGTTAACAATATCTGAAAGAACAATGAGTTGTTCACGCTTTAAGTCAAAACATTGCAAAATACATTCATTACAAAATCATTATTTTTTATATGAGATTAGAGACACAAATTTATAAATACAATCATACATATAAAATGTAGCAGTTAGTTAAATTAATTGAATTTATATTATATTTTAAATTAATTGTATTTATATTATATTTTAATAATTAAACAAAAACAAGTGTCAAAAAGTGTGTTGAATGGAGAGTGTATCAATCATTTTTTTATGTAAAGCCTTATATTTAAGTGACATATATATTTTTAATCTTTAAGTCACACGTATTTTTTTATTATATTTTATTGTAAGATTTTTTCACTCAACACATCATCTATTGCTAAATATTAGTGTTATATGTTTTGCTTTAATGAAGATTTATGCTTATGTGAATTGTGTGGATCATATTTAGAGGACTTAGGTGTTAGGTCACTTATTCTTACACCATAACATTGCTCAAGCATTTTGGATTCTTTCCAATAGCTGTTGGAGGCTGTACTTCTAGTGCTTCCCCTTTTTTAATTAATAATATATACTATCACTCCTTTACCGACCAAAAAAAAAAAAGTGGTATCAGTGTTGCCCCATGCTTGTATGCTTTTGATCAAGATCATGTTCCCCGGTAGGTGCAGGGGAAGTATAAGTGCTGGAGAGCATCACCTAAAAAAAAAAAAAAGTGCTGGACTGGACAACTGCTTGTTTTGCTTGTATATATATGGTCGAAATTAAAACTACAGAACAGCTCCGTAAGGATATAATTAGGAGTGATCAGAAAAACAACATGCATGATCAGCGGATGTTTAATCCTTTATTAACATTAATCAGTTTGCCATACAAAAAAAGAAAAAAAAAAAAAAAAAAGGGGTCAATCTGGCTAGCTTGGAATGAAAAAAATTTTAGACGTAAATCTGAGGATGTTGCTATATATTCGAACTGATCCAAACTAAGATGCTTTCACTGGCTCAAGGGAAGAATTGAGGGAATTAAGTTCCTTCAATTATAATGATTACTGGTTACTGGATCCACTTTTGTGCATGAAATCTGTCAGGGAGGAACAGTTGGATGGACAAATATGTTCTTTTTGGAGTAAATTTTTGCAGTTACTTCGTGTTTTCGATTTTCAAATATTGAGTTATGGTAACTAAATAATATATATATACATGTAGATGATGATAAGCAAAGATAATGTAATTATGCAGTTATTATTTAGTTCTTAAGTCATAGTGGAAACACCCGTCATACAGTGAACAGGTTGCAACTTTTACTTTTGATTTTATGTATCCACATATCCAAGCAGGTAGTTGAAAAACCTCTGCATCGACCTCCATCCAGCGGTGGAGCTAGAAAATAGGGACGAAACGGTCACGTGGAATGTGGAATTGGGGAGTGCATTTCTGTGAAAAAAAATGATTGCTATATTGTTTGATTAGACATATTTTTTTGTTTTCACTTAATTAAATTATTAAAACATAATATAAATATATTCAATTCAATTAGTTTTATATATTATATGCACAATTATATTTTTAAATTTATCTAATTTTAATTTTAAATTAAACATGATAAGTTTTTATTAAATATATTGTACAATGTATTAATTTTTAGGGTGTAACAATTATTAAATATAATGATATTAATTCATATATAAAATTAATTTTTAACTAATGAAAATAAAGTTATTTCAAACACATTAATTTATGAAAAAAATGTTTATTAGTTGTACTTACAAAAAATTAAGCAAAAAAAATCCTGAAACTACGTCTTTTTAACTAATTCTCATTATAAAAGATTAAAACATCCTTTAGAAAAAAAAAAAGAAGAAAAGAATGAGACTATATTAATATTTTCTTATGATACTTTATTAAAACGACATAATTTTAAGTGTTTTTTTTATCTAATTTTTCTACAAGTTTGGTTGATACACACTAATCTCTTAATTTATTATAAATAGATGTCTAAGTTCCACATTAATAAAAAAATTTTGAGATAAACATGATATAACAATCCATCAAATTCTTCATTAATTTCCTAATATCTTTATATCTATAACTATATTATTTTCGATTATTATTTATATCCTTTTTAACCCAATTTGTCTCCTCTCTCTCCCAAATACCTGTTTTAAAAGTTTTGAAGTCAAAACATTAAAAATATAGTTTATTAACATTATTCCCTTGGTACTTTTCATTTATTTATACTCTATTTTTATTAATTTTTCTTACAACATCATCTTTTAGTTTACCCTTACATATTTTTCTAATATATTTATCTATTTGCATATATTCACCGTGATATTCTATACAAGACTGGAATTGCAATCCATTGGGTTGTGTAAGACAGTCAGGTAGTTAGGTAGTTGTGGTAGAAAGAAAACATGATGCAGATGGAGAGCTTTGCTGAAGTTTGATGTAATTGCTATAAGGCAATAGTACCCCTTATATTTTAATATAAATAATAAATTTTTATTTGGCTGATTAAAAAAATTTGTTTGTTATTATTTTTTCTCCCTTATTTTTCCATTATAATATTTTTTTTTAGTAACTCCTTTTTAGTATTGATTGTTAGATATCTTGTCTTTTATTCCACTTCTCTCTCTTTATCAATATAAGGCATATTCTAGATCAAAATATAAAAGGCACAACTTCTTGACATTGCACTAATTGGTACACCATTTGCTTTAATATATTGTATAACACATTTATTAAAAAAAATTATTTTTTAGTATTTGAAATTAAAAGTGGACAAACCTAAAGATGTAGTTCTTTATATAGCATGTAAAAATCAGTTGAATTGACATTACTAATATTACATTTTAATGGCTGAACTAAAATGAGTAAAAAAATATGTTGAACTGAATGTGTATCGATCATTTTCCTTTAATCAATTTTTGCATTCTATATACATGATTATATTTTTAAGTTTATTTGTTTTTAATTTTTTATTAAAAAATAATGATTTTTTAATGAACATGTTGTGTGTAGTGTGTGCCAATTAGTGTCCTTTTCCTTTTTGTATTATTTGGCCATTGGTATTTTTTTTACTTACATATACCATTACTCCACCTCTCATTAATTTTTCTTGTAATACCATCTCTTAACATATACTCTCTTATTTTCTCATTATATTTATCACTCTAAATTACATTTGTCCTCAATCTTTCTCTTTTTATTCATTATTAGATATTTTTTATTTTTTTTTTTAAAATGATTGATATACACTCAATTTAACACAATTTTTGACACTTTTTCTGATTTAACTATAAAAATATAATATAAATACTTGTTTTGATTTAGTCTATTCTTGTATTTTTTGTGCATAGTTGTATTTTTAACTTTATTTATTTTTAATTTATATAAAATAATAATAATTTTTTAATAAATATATTATGCAGTATGTTAAATCAAATTGTGTATTAATCATTGTCCATTTTCTTAATATTACAATATCATATAATTAAGATGTTTTACGAAATTGATAGACCAATTTCTACTCTATTCTATTGTATGATGCAACCTTGTACTTCCTTAATAAAATCCGTTTCTTTGCTGAAGGGGAAAAAAAAAAAAATGGTGCAACCCTTTATTAAGATTGCCGATATAGCTAAGAACCAGACACATCCAATTGTAACCATTTTCCTCTGGCGGGTTCATCTAGCCAGTGCCAAAAAGGGAGAGAGTCATCATTTATTCGAATAAAGTGGAGTTAATTAAATGTGAGAAAGTTAGTAAGCACCCACAACTTTAGGTTATCACAGCCCTTTATCTGGGGTGTTTTCAATTTGTTTATATAAAATAATAAAATAAATCATTTAATCAGAAATGTGCCTTTTACCCCTTTTTTCATATCAAAGAAGACAACAAACAATTAACAAAATAATAAAAAAAGAGAGTAAATCAACCGATTTTAATAAAAGCTTGGCTTAGATGGATTAACATTTCTCATTCTTAGCACATAGAATTCTTTTTTTTTTTTTTTTTTTTTTTTGGTTTCCCGTCCGGTATCCGGGGCTTCGCCCCGACTAATCCGGATCGACTCGCGTCGCGCACCTGAAAATGGTGGGTGAGTCTCCCAACGGAGGCTGCTGCATGCACATAGAATTCTTAAAAACCACTAAACCAATTCCTAAAACCAATTCCTATCTGCACCTGCAGTACTAGCTACATTGGATAGAGTGCAGGTTTACCAAGACCAAGACTTGGTTCAGGTAAGAACTAATTCTCATACTCTTAACTTTTTCATGTTCAAAAAAAAAAAAAAATCCTATCAATTTTTTTTTATTCAAAAACACATTAATTCCTTTTCATTAATTACAAACAAATCAATCAAATGAGACCATAACGCGGGAAATAAAAGGGACCTTGCGTTTCATGTCTGCAGAACTCAAACAGGATAAATGAAATAGATGGGTTAAATGTCAATTTTGGACCCCTCAACTTTAGGGTTTTATATAGATTTTATCTCTTAATTTTTTTATATACTTTTTTTGGTCTATTTATAATTAAAAATGTATTTTTTTAATTTTTCTATCAGTTATTCCATTAAGTTTATTCAAATATACACATTTTTAATCACTAAACTTTTAAGCTAAGGGATGAAAAATTTGTATATATTATATTATAAATTGAGAGATTAAATATACACATATTTGGATAGATCTAATGGACTAATTAATGAAATGACTTAAAAAATACACTTTTTATAATTGATGGATTAAAAAA